AGAAAGGGTCTATTCGAAAGACGAATTTTCGTGATACGCCAAAAGTCCGCCATATTCAAGAAGCACTCCTAGACACATTCACGACTAGTCGGAGCAGGAACTCGCGTCACTCAAAGCGGTTTAAGGATTGGCAATTTCAGGCCCGATAACCAGGTTGATGTGGCCTCTTCTGTACTTCCGGTCATTCAAAAATAACAACAACAACAATAACAACAACCCAATTATTGGGTGAGTCTAGGCCTGGAAAAGGCCGGCGCAACGTCGGGGAATGTACCCAGTCGACGGTCGAACGCTATAAAGTGTCAAAACAATTGTGGCAGAGGAGGCTGGATAAAGGTATGTTCTTCGAAGTTGCCTTGACGACAGGACCGAATTGCGAAAACCAGGTGATACCGATTGCCTTGGAGACTGAAAGTTGGAATTTTTCACTGGGTCTGGGCCCATTCTATCGACACAAATGACTAGTTTGCCGTTCGAAAAATAAGATGAAGATGGTCTATAAGGAATCCGAGGTGAAAAAGTGTGTGCCAGTTGGCAAGGCAGGAGGCGAGTGGGGCAGTGCTGGGGAGAGGGCAATAAATGCGGATTGATGGTGTGTTTTGTGTCGAAATGGGTGATCGGCCGGCGTGAACTCGTCTGCACATGGCAGACGTGAATGCGCCGGAAGCCGATGAGGAAACGGTAGCAACGAGGAAAGTGTCGATTCAGAACACTTATCCACCAAGATTGGTGGTCATCTTTAAGTGCAGCATCTTTGAAAGGCCGGTATCCACCCGCCGACAAAGCTCAGTCGTCAAGACTCGGTTTATGGCAACGACGTTGGCATTCCGTCGCAGAGTAATGCATTTTCCAGCCTCTCAGAGGTGCTATTCGACTCACCGAGCAGTTTCAGCACTCCGTCGACAATCGCGGGCAGTTGGTGGTGGAGCGCGAAGTTGAACACGATGCCGATGAGGGTCATGAAGAAGAGCGGGTTGAGCAAAACCTGGCGGAGCACCTGTTTCGGGTTGAGTGCGAGGGGAGAGAAGAGATGGACCAGAAAAATGAGGTTAATGAGTATGCGTGGAGTGGAACGAAAGAGGAGAGGAACATGCTGAAAACCACTCCGCTCGAAAATAGCAACACAACCGTTAAAAGTATGCCTCGAAAGGGATCATTTTAAACGATGATGCATACAGTATCGTTTAAAACTAGCCGTTCCAAAACAGACTTTTAATGAAGGTGTGAATACCAAGATGGAAATGCTCATGCATACAATGAACTGCAGACTAGGTGCATTTCTTTAAGACTTCCGGCCAATATGACGAAGTTGAGAAAACAAGGTCAAACTACTTATATACTTATAATGAGTTTGTTGCTAGTTTGGAGTGGGGTACCTTTTGAGACTATCATATTTTAGTTCTTTCTGGCTTCAACCCAACGCCAAATATAGCTTATATTTAGCCCATATATCTTCTACCTGCCTCTCTTTCCCTCTATATATACTTAATTAAATAAATTAATAAATACAAATAATGTGACATTGTTAATTCTTAGTAAATTGACGGGAAGACGAAATTACTGGCCAAATAAGTCAACCAATTTGATGCTTTTAGCAAGGATTTTTCATAATTTTGTTGTCAATAAAGATAGGCCTGAAGTAAATATTAAAAAACATTCGTTTATAGGCCAGTTTTCGAGACTACTAGTGGAGCTTGAGGTGATAAGCGGACTGGTAGTTGAATTCTCCCACAATCGTATAAGTAGACCTTGCTTTTTGAGAAAGGGTTTTCCATAATCGCTTTGACAACGCAAATAGGCCTTAAGAAAACGTCGAAGGATGTCTCGTAGACTGCATCAACCTGAAGGCCTTACTAATACCAAATGGCGGCAGTATAACGCGAATCAACGGACGTCTTCTGGTTAAATTGACCTACGAATCTCTTCATCATGTACTTACATAAGAAATAAAAGTCTTCATAACAGCTCTATCTCAAGAGATTCTTCAAAGTATGCATTTTCCTTTTTCTTTTACGAATTACTTTCTTTGCAAGTATCGCAGTCACACCAAGCAAGACCATAT